TGGTCTCTCTTTGAATGTTTTCAGCTCAGTTTTGGGGGTATTTTTACCATCTCTCTGCCCACTCATTAGTAGGATTGAGGCTGCTTCTAGTATGCCTAGCACAATTCAGGTATGGTCAAGCATAAAGCTATCTCCACAGCTACAGTTCATATAATACCATTATTAAGCTCTTCTTGGTGTATTAGGGGTGGCATGTGTTTTATGTATAAGCAAAAGGAATAATGCAGAAAATCCCACCATTCCAGTGTTACCTGCAGGAAGCCCTCAGGGAGCCCCTACACCCTTTCCAGGGTGGGTTGCTTGTGGAGAAGTCTCCAAAAGCAGAGCTTCCAGCCCAGCCAGGAAGGGTAGGCAAGTTGTTGCCTGAGTCCTGCTGCAGGCTCTCTGCAGCCTTTTCCAGTCCACTGCTGCAGGCTGCGTTATGATGTCCCTTGTCAGACCTCTGAATGAAGACGCAGCCTTGTCTACTTCCAGCATTTCTCCTTATTCTTTTCATTTTCACTTTATTGCTCTCCTTTCCACCCATTTCCATCCATGCCAATGAGCCCATTTCCATTTGGTCACAAGTGATGCCTTAGTTAAATCCTTTCTTGCTGTGTAGGGTTTCTAAGCTCATTAAAATGTATCTATCCAAATCCTTCCAGGACAGTTCCAGTATTGACCTTCTAAAGTACTTTCTGACCTGTGTAAGACACAAGTGCCAGACCAGCTCCCAAAGACAGGGGTGCAATGATCCCTGTAAGGTGACACAGACCAACTTTGCTCTAGGGGATACAATGTCTAAGAAAGCTATTTTTGAGAGGAGTCAGGACCCCCGAAGCATCTTATTGACCTTCTCTTTAAAACTTCTATATAATTTCATATAGATGCTTTTGTCTGTGCTATGTTTGATTTCCTCATAAACATCAGTATCTGACTGTCAGAAAACAGAAGGGGTTCACAGTACTTTCTTATCACACAGCAGATCACAGCACCTCAGTCAAAATATACAAAGCATCACCACGTGCTGCAAAGATCTTTGGAAGTTTAAAACAGGGAAAAAAAGGAGGGAGTGCAATGATACAACTTCTCTGGCTTGTTCTTACCATCAGTGACATGACTGCATCGGAGTATGGGCAATGTAAAGCACCATGAAGTACTTGCCACCTTTCAGGCCTGAAGAGAAGAGAGAAAGAACAAGGTTTTCTCACACTGCACAGCTTTCCTTGGGATGATAGTGGTCCCCTTGGTCTCCATAGAAAGGTTCAGTGCATTTCCAAGACTCCCACCCTGATGACTGCAGTATGTCGCAAGTTATTACGAGCTGTGACCTTGCTTGGGTAGCTGGTGGCAAGAGGCATATTTTCTGAATACTCCTATCTTACAAAACATACAAGGTCTTAGAAGCTTGGAAAGGATTAGCTAAAGCAGAACCTTAAATCCTGAAGCCCTGAAAAAAGGCTCACTGGGGCATTTGGATCAGAGGTGGCTGGGGACCTCTTTTACTATGTGAAAGGACAACGAAGGTGAGAACGGCAGTGTAACAGCAGCAGCCAGGAGAGAGAAACAGCAAGTGTATATACCTAATTTATAATACAAATAAGGGAAAAATCAAAAAGAAGGAGAGTTTTATTTATCCTACATCCCCACCCAACATTTCTGCAAGCCCATAGTGAAGGCCTGAGGTTGTACTGCTTTGAGCACCTCTGTTGTATTGCTGCCACTGGCTACCTATCCTCACAAACTTCAAAGCAGCCAAGTAAAATCCTACTTAAATGAACATCAGGGGTGGTTTTGCAACCTAATTCCCTGGATCCAGGATTTTGCTCAATGAATATCCCTCAAAGGGCCTAGAGAACAGAAGATAAACCAACAACAAGCTTTTCCCTTAATTCTCTCTTTCTTTGCCTGAAATTTTGGGGCCAGTTCTGAAGGTCATTTGATCAAAGTAGGCACCTGCCCAGGTGGACAGGCATTGATCCCTTTCAGGTCACTTCTCAGAGAGCTTTCAGTTGGATGGGTCTAGGATGGTTAGTTAAGGAAAAGCATTGTACTGGTTTCTCAAGGCAGGGCTAAGAGATGCAGCAGCAGAAGGGCTGATGGAGCCAATGTTTAGTTAGTCAGAGCTGGGAGACTGAGCCTTGCAATCAACTTATATCAGAGACTAACAGATGCCAGCTTTGCAAAGGAGCTATCTGAGCTAAAGGGCAAGTATCCCAGTATACAGTGTTAACCATACCATTTCCTTGCATGGCACTGGCCACAGAAACAGATGTGTTGCAACCACGGGCAGCTAAATGGGATCAGGACTGTGCAGAAAGATAGCACAAAATATCTGTAGTGAACTCGTGAGTGCAAAATGCAAGATTTCACAGAGACTTTTCTCCCCCTCATCCTTCCCTGCTGTTGCTCCTGCCTTATTGGGGAGGATCCAATGCACAGAGAAACCTTATGTCAGTGTTGTGTAGAAATGGGCCTTCAACAAACCCAGGGTCCCCAAATCCATAACGTCTACACACTGTCCTACACCCAGTCTGAAACATCATTTGGGTGTATGGACAGCTTTGAATTCCCAAGGAAAATTGCTTCTGGGTCCAAGATGGGCACATTTCAGTGTGCTGCTATCAGGACCCACAAAGATGATGAAGAAAATGGCACAATACTTAGGGCCTTTTTTAAGGTGTGAGCACATTCGCTTCAGCCCCAGCTCTGCTACTGGCATCTTACAGCCCCCCCAGGGGAAAAAAGCAACTTTTTTTGTTAATAAAAAGCATTTCTGTTCTTTTTTTTTTTTTTTTTTTTGATAGCAAGAAAAGGAGAAAATGAAAATTGGATTGTATCTATTTTTAGGCAGATTAAAAAGTTATTCAGCCTGGAGAGAAAGCACCTCATAAATAGCTTGAGCAATATGAAAGTGGAGCAACTGCTGAAGATTTGCAAGAATAAAAGGAGGGCAGGAGCCTGGGAAGCCAGCTTTGAAGTAGCTGTGAATGTTAGTTTTTACAGCCCTGTCTATGTGTGCCTGCTTTAAAACACTATGATGAGAGCGGAATCCTGCTCCTGCGCCCCAGATCCACTGGGTCCAAAGGCAACCAACCAGCCTGATGTAGACCTGGTCACCCCACAAACTCAGTTCTGTGTTTTACGCCCTAAACATTCAACCTACCCAGCCATTGCCACCCACTGTGACACAAGTTTTGTGTCTCCCACTAAAAGCAATCAGATTTACCCAGGTTTGTCACATCTCTAAAATGATCACTCCTGCAAGTGTATTTCAGAGGCTGCCTTGCCCTGGCTTTTACATAGATTCCCTCTGGCTTCATTATGAAGACTTCAAGTTGCAGGCAAACATTGAATTTCTCTAAAAGCAGAAACTACGAAATACAGAAATACAGAAAAGCAGAAATACAACAGGCTTGGAAACCATTGCCCACAGTTTCAGTCGCTTTCTCAGGGGCTGTTCAGGTTAGAACTGAAAGCTGAGGGGGACATGTTCTTCTAAGACACCAGAAGATGGGTATAATCTGTTAAGGGAAGCGGTTGAACCAGCATCCCTGGAGGTATTTAAAAGACATGTAGATGTGGCACTTAACAACATGGTTTAGTAGTGAACTTGGTTAGGTTTACAGTTGGATTTGATGAACTTAATGTTTTTTTCCAATCTAATCTAAATGATTCAGCCATCCTGTTATTGCTAAGCAATGCTCACTTTCACCCCAGATACTGAACCAATCCTACACATACAGCTAAATGGGAACAGATTGCTGGGGTGTGAGTTGCAGGGGACATCACCCCTTCTCTGGTAGGGATGGAGCAAGGCTGTGATGGAGCAAGAGCAAGGAGGCTGATGAGGCCACGTGTCTGCACATCACTTTGGTGGGAGGGGGGCAGACCCATGGTCCTTGTCAAGCTCTTCTCTTCCAGCCCCTCAGCATGCCTTCTCCAGTGGATCCATGCCAGCCCCAGTGTTGGTCTGTGGCCAGCTGGCCTGCCTCGACCTGCCTGTTGCTGTCAGTCATGGGGCAGCGGTGGCAGCCCGGTCACAGGAGGGGAAGAGTTGAAAGACTGTGCCACCAAATCGTTCTCCTCCAGCAGCATGGTGCAGTGGTGCTGGCAATGCAGCAGAGCAGCAGGCAGCACTGAGCTGCTGGGGAAGGGGCAACCACTCACCATTCCCAGGAAACGAAGAGCAAGGAATACGCAGGACTGCTTGCTGGGAAACGCAATGGGATTGTGTGAAAAAACACTTCTAAGCCAACAGGCAGGTCCCAGAAAGGGAGGCCAGCACTGATGGCTATCTCTCTCCATCATCTTAAGGAGACCTCTGGTCTGGGCATATCTCCTATCCTTCACTCCCCCTTAGTACAATAAGGTTCTAACCGCTTGCTAGCAATGTATGAGGCTTGGTAACTACTACGGACATGGGAGGTTGCAGTGTAAGCTTCCTTCTGCTTCAGGATTAATGGCCCAAGGGACAGCAATTCTCCTGGTACTCCAAAAGCAGAGAAGAAGGTGCTGCAGAAAAGATGCTGAATGTCAGCCCCGGCCAGTGCTCCAGGCAGGAGGAGGAGGGAATCCCATGAGTGCTCACCTCCTTTGCTGCTGAGAAACAGGGACTTTTCCTCCAGCAGTGCAGATGAGGCTCTGAAACTGCTTAAACTGAGATCTGTTATCCAAAGCCTAATCACTGTTATGCCCAAGGGGATATATAAAGAGAGAAACTCTTATTCTAAATTGCAGTAAATATCGTCTATTTTTGTTAAGCCCTAATAGGACAGGCAGCACCTTGGTTCCCTGTGCAAGAGAAGTCTGTCCCTTCACAAACCCTGCCTGTGTACTCCCAGCCCTGCTGTCTTCCACTCCCTCCCTCTTGCTCACTCCCTCTCAGATGATGCAGAGTGCCAGCAAGTCCCTCAATGGTGTCATATCTGTCCTTTTTATTCATTGCAGGGTTTATTTTTAGCCTGAAACAACTGCTTCCTAAAAATGGAGTTCCTAATGACACGGGAGCTGGACACAGCTATGTAAGGTATCCAGGGCTTGGCCTGACAGCTTCTCCTGTCTGTCTCTTTGTTGTGAGTCCAGGACAGCAAAGTTTGCTGCTCCCCACCAGCCTTTCAGCATTTGGGCTGATCATTAACAGGGCAACAGAAAAAGAAACTCGGTTTGAACTTCACCTGGAGCCTTTGGTCTCCCCTTCTCCCCAAATTAAGAAGGAGGGGGATGTTTACCTGCCTTCTGCTGCACTCCAAGGTCTCCCCTATGAAGGCGACTTGCTGGATCCTGGCAGGTCTTTACCTGCTTTCCTGCTGCAAGGCAGAAGAGGGACTGAACTTTCCAACTTACGATGGGAAAGACCGAGTGATCGACCTGAATGAGAAGAACTACAAGCAGGCCCTGAAGAAGTATGACATGCTCTGCCTGCTCTTCCACGAGCCGGTGAGCTCTGACAAGGTCTCCCAGAAGCAGTTCCAGATGACAGAGATGGTCCTGGAGGTAAGCACCACTGCACGTCTCAGCCGGGGTCAATAGCACAGCATTGTTTGGAGCCGAGGAGAGGAGAGTCAAAGGCTCTTGTGCAGGGGGGAGTTGAGCACCCAAAGGTTTGGGCTTGCTTGCTTGGATCTGAGTTAGCACCTGAGTTCTGAAGCCCAGGAAAAGCTTTTTTTGTGCTCTTCTGAGTTGTTTGCTGGGAAATAGTCTTTCTGGATGGTGCTTCCGAAACCCAGGCAATAGTGAGAAACGAGCAACCTTGCAAACCTCTGCAACGTGAGCTCAGCTCAGCTGAGCTTTCCCAAATGCCAGCTCAGACCTGAGCTTGTAGCTTAAGGTTTTTAGAACGTTTTTCATTATGTATCCTCCTTGCATTCTGGATTCAGACCCATTTTCTGTCCCTCTAGGAGCAATCAGCCAAGAGGCCTTACAAAACTGTGGTGCAAATGAGTGTCATAGCTCCCCATCTCAAACACTCCCTGTTGGTGCAGCGTTAAATCCCTTTTTGTTTTTCCGACACTTGGTTGCCTGCTTGGAATCAGTCTGGAGCTGCTTCTTAATGCAGCCGTTCACTTCTGTGCTGGAAAAAGAGCAGTGTTCATTCTTTGGTGAAAGAATGATTAATTAAATCCTCAGTAAAATAAATCACAGTGAAAGTTGCAAAGTAGATTCATAGCATTCCTTCTTGCAGTGCAGCTGTAATCTAGGGAATCATACAGCAGCAAGCCTGGATTGTTTGGTGCTTGTTTCCTATCAGGGACTTACAAATATTCCCTCTTAGCTAAAAGATATGGGAAGAAAATGAAAATTGCAGAAGAAACACATAGGCTTTCTTTATCTGATCCAGAGTGAAAATGCATTGCACCCTTAGGAGTATAGCAAATGCGAACTACAAAGCGTGTTTGCTGAGGGCTAGGACCTAAAAACATCCAATGCCAAGTTCCAAGTCTACTGACCTCCTTAGCAAGCCTGAAGACAAGAAAGATTCAAAACCTTCCCCAGGTTTTACTCTGCTCTCAGGGAACAGTTACTTGCTCCAGTGAGCGATCAAATAACATTTGGCAAAGAAAAGGAAACTCCAGTTGAAATGTTTATGGTTGGTAGTATAATTGCATTGTTGTTTAATAGCATAGCTATTTCATGCCCAATAGATGGCAAGCAGTTACTAGATACATATTTATAGAAACCTGACAGAAGCAGGTATCTGTCGTGTACTATCAGTTTTAGTCCCCATGGCACCTATACTCAAGTTATTAACCATATCAAGGGTGTGATGGCTACAATACAACCTGGTTTAAAGCTTTCATTTTGCAGGGTTTGATTCAGCAGCAAGTACATTAGCTTAGGACTCGGGTGATTTGGTTTCCAATTGCCTCTCTATCACCGACTTCTTACGTGACCTTGGCCAAGAGATTGAGGATTAGATTTGCAGCAGACTTTACATAACTGGAGGTGCTCTAGTTCACTAATGCTCAGCTACCAGCTAACTGTGCCACACACACATCAACTGGCACTCGTGGCTTCGAGCTCAACATTTCCCAAGCACTTGCAATGCTGATTCAATGCATGTCTCAAAGTTCCACAGTCTCTCCCCCCATTGCAGCAGCAGCCATCTGACAGCCTAAGCACAAGAGCAATCTGCAAGCTGAGCACCCATTTGCCTCTGTCACCCAAGGGAATCGGAGGGGAGAGGGCCTCAGGAGGCAGCAGAGAAGATGTGATGTGTGCTATCCTACATAGGACACAGGCCAGCAAGGTGTTAGTGCTCCCAGTTTCTGTATTAACTCAACCATGGGAGCACTCGTGAAAGGAGTGGGCAAGGCAGGTTGTAATCTGGTCCCTCTTGAGACAGCATCCACCTCCCTCACCTCAAACCACACTGTGTTGTGCAAGGGGGTCACTCTCAATCTTCCCTGCCAGAGCCCATGCAGCTGCAAGATTTCGTGTTCTCCCAGGAGAGGGAGAGGGAAAGAAATGGTTGCAGTGGCTGCAATGGCTGAGATGCGGAGCCATACACCTGAGAGATACATAGGAAGGCTTTATGTATCTCTTTGGAGCAGAGGGTTCGGGACTCTGAGTGCTGAAGGTCCTTTATGCCTGAAATGAGGTATCTAAAAGGCAAAGACTCCAGCCCTTGCTATTCCCTGCCAGCCAGCTTGGGAAGTTCCTAGAGTAAGGTGGTGCCTGTGGTAAGACGCTCCTTTCTGGAGCAGCTTTTCTGTTTCCATCTGGCTGTACTATGTATCTGCTTATTCACAACGAAATGTGCTGCTTCCACAGCATGGAAAACATTATGTTCCAATGGCACTGGTCTCCGTCATTTGGAAAAAAACAGGGAGCCTTCATCCAAAAACATAGGCAGGTGTGGAACTAAGCAAATATCTGAGCTGCATGGTTAGGGATTGGTATGTCAAATTGCCTGATGAACATGGGAGGGAATGGGCTTAATAACGCCAAAAAGTCCATCCTTTCTGTTTGTCCCACATGTACCTTATAAGAAATGTATAATTCCAAAGGCCAAAAACCTAAAGAAATATCTTCAGACACCAAGAAAAGTGCAGAAGAGACCTATCATGGTTTCCTTGAAGTATGTAGCTCATGGTCAGTAACAAGCTCTGACAGGGGCTTCTCCCATGAGTGAGGAGCATGTGAGGCTCCCTCTTAAGTTTGTCCTTTAGTGTCTAACAGGGGTTGAGCTCATGTGGCAACATTTCCTTCTTTCAGGGAACTTCAGTCTCCTTTCATGAAAGGAAACTGAGGTCTCCTGCTTGAGATCCTTGACTTCAGAAGATTTGGCTGAGAAAGGCCAATAGCTAGAAAACATGAGGAGGGGCAGCTTAGAGACAGACCTGGTGGGAGAAAGGAGTCACAAGGGTCTCATACCCTTAGGAAACCAAGTTGAAAACCCGACAGCACATCTGTGAAGTTAAGCACAAGTTGAAGGACTTTCCCAAACCACATCTATGAGCAGCAGGCTGAGAAGGAAATGATATGATAGGAAAAATTACCTTCCCAGGACAGAAGTCCCACATGTAGGACTGACTGACACTGTCAAAAGCTCAGCTATCACAGAAAAGGGATGCCATCATTAAGCTAATATTACAGTGGGACAGCACATGGAGTCTTTGACTCCCCGCACCCAGGCGTAATGAGAACTGTCACCACGTTCCCATGCAGCCCAGGGTCCCTTTCCAGTTTAGAAAGGGAATGAAGGTGAAGACCATCATGAAGCAGCCCTGCCAGCTATGCTGTTGTGTACTACCTGGTGAGGACAGGGTCCAGGGGCAGCCAACCCCCTCTAGCAGCAAAAGCAGCTTCTCTGAAGCATCCTTTGTACATGACAACAGCTCCAAGGACAGCAGTGTCAGCCCATCAAGTTGGGGAGGGAAAGCTGGGGCTGCTGTTTTAGTCTGCTGGGAAAACAAAACAGTGCCTGGAGATGCAGCTGCCTACTGCTTTCTGGCCAGGGTAGAAAAGTGTTGGGGAAGGATTGCTATGTATCCATAGATACAACCCAGGGCAAGACAACCCAGGGCAGAGACAGCATGAGCACAGGCTGTTTCACAGCTCAGGTTAAAGGGCTCTCTTCCTTTGGTTGCTTTCTCCTATGACTCCACTCTGCACTTCTGACTCCTGAAAAGCACCTGCAGCCTGAGCAGGGAAAAGCCTCTGTACAGGGCAATGCAGGGGTTGGACCAGGCAGTCCCAGAGCTAACAGTAGCTATTCCTGCTCTGTGGTGATGTTTACAGGAGCCTTGTGTGCCCATGAGGTGAAGAAGCAGAGGAAACAGCCAGGCACAAGGGTTCCCATCAGTTATTTAACAGACAAGTAAGAAAAAAAGCTACTTGTCCTGAAAGGTCTCAGCTTTAATGAAGAAGGGGCAATAGAGAAAAAGACCAAAGCAGTGAAGTCGATAAATAGCTGTTCTGCCTTTCTTCTCCTCTGTAGTTCCCCTACTTCATTTTGTCCTGTATCACACTACTTCTTAGACTTTATCCCATCTCTCTTTCAACTCTGAATGTCCTAAAATATTGGCATAGTTTTGCCTTCCAGAGGGGCAGCTCCTCTCTCTAGGAATCATGTAGCAAGAACAATCAACAGCGGAGTTAGAGGCTTTCCTTTTGCGCTTGAGAAGCTCTCTCCAGCAACTGAGGTTGTCTCACACTACCGTAACATCTCCTGCTGAAACACTCAGTCCTGCCATTCTTTCCTTGTCATCTGCGTGCATGTATAATATCCTTAAAAACAGAGGGCCCGGATATTTTAGGCACTTTAATGCAATAGTGCCCCTGGGCTGAAAACTCCTGTAGAACTGCCCTAGGACAAGCCAGTCTGATTAGAGTTAAGTTTGGACGTGGTCGTAGCCTTTCCAAATAGAGTCTAGGATCAGATTCTGGAGCACAAGGGAAATTTCTCCTGTGAACCTGGAAATATAAATCCATGAGATCCCCCCAGTGTTCAACCACAACCAGGAGCTAGCTCTGGTGTGACAGGGAAAGACAGATTTGGAATCCAGCAAAAGATGAGGTTAAACTGGGTGTAAGGGCTACCTCCCAGTTCACTCGAGAGCCAGGATTCACTACCAAGTGTTGAAACTACCGCAGCTTCCAGCTCAGGATGGAAAACCTGGTGCAAGACCAGGTGATTTTGGGGTAGCTTCAGCCACATGGTCTTGAAATCTCTTGAGAGTAGGTGAAACCCAGGAAAAATGTTTCAAATTTAGGTCTGTGTGGTTTATCCCAGAAATTCCTGAGAACCAGCAGATGAGTCTGGTTTAGGCAGGGTGCAACCATAAACACAACAATAAATCCAAGCCCTTTCTTTAAACACCCTTCTCTGTTTCACAGACTCAGATTCCAGTCTTTTTCTTTGAAAATGGGCATATTCACAAGACAGAGCCTCAACCCAATTCCCAGGGCTGCGTACGCGTTGTACAAGGCATGCCCACTGAGTATCACTGAAACTGTCACATCTCTGGGTCCCTACAGAGCAAATCCTCAAC